GGAGCTGGGGTGTGTTATCTGGTGGTGTGGAGGAGCTGGGGTGTTATCTGGTGGTGTCGAGGAGCTGGGGTGTGTTATCTGGTGGTGGGGAGGAGCTGGGGTGTTATCTGGTGGTGTGGAGGAGCTGAGAGTGTTATCTGGTGATGTGGAGGAGCTGGGGTGTGTTATCTGGTGGGGTGGAGGAGCTGGGGTGTTATCTGGTGATGTGGAGGAGCTGGGGTGTGTTATCTGGTGGAGTGGAGGAGCTGGGGTGTTATCTGGTGGTGTCGAGGAGCTGGGGTGTGTTATCTGGTGGTGGGGAGGAGCTGGGGTGTTATCTGGTGGTGTGGAGGAGCTGAGAGTGTTATCTGGTGATGTGGAGGAGCTGGGGTGTGTTATCTGGTGGTGTGGAGGAGCTGGGGTGTTATCTGGTGATGTGGAGGAGCTGGGGTGTGTTATCTGGTGGTGGGGAGGAGCTGGGGTGTTATCTGGTGGTGTCGAGGAGCTGGGGTGTTATTTGGAGGTATGGAGGAGCTGGAGGTGTTATCTGGTGGTGTGGAGGAGCTGGGGTGTTATTTGGAGGGTGGAGGAGCTGGAGGTGTTATCTGGTGGTGTGGAGGAGCTGGGGGTTATTTGGTGGTGTGGAGGAGCTGGAGGGTGTTATCTGGTGGTGTGGAGGAGCTGGAGGTGTTATCTGGTGGTGTGGAGGAGCTGAGAGGTGTTATCTGGTGGTGTGGAGGAGCTGGGGGGTGTTAGCTGGTGGTGTGGAGGAGCTGGAGGTGTTATCTGGTGGTGTGGAGGAGCTGGTGGTGTGGAGGAGCTGGGGTGTTATCTGGTGGTGTGGAGGAGCTGGGGTGTGTTATTTGGTGGTGTGGAGGAGCTGGGGTGTTATCTGGTGGTGTGGAGGAGCTGGGGTGTTATCTGGTGGTGTGGAGGAGCTGGGGTGTTATCTGGTGGTGTGGAGGAGCTGGAGGTGTTATCTGGTGGTGTGGAGGAGCTGGAGGTGTTATCTGGTGGTGTGGAGGAGCTGGTGGTGTTATCTGGTGGTGTGGAGGAGCTGGGGGTGTTATCTGGTGGTGTGGAGGAGCTGGGGTGTTATCTGGTGGTGTGGAGGAGCTGGGGTGTTATCTGGTGGTGTGGAGGAGCTGGGGTGTTATCTCTGGTGGAGGTGTGGAGGAGCTGGTGGTGTGAGGAGCTGGTGGTGTATCTGGTGGTGTGGAGGAGCTGGAGGTGTTATCTGGTGGTGTGGAGGAGCTGGGGTGTTATCTGGTGGTGTGGAGGAGCTGGGATCTGGTGTTATCTGGTGGTGTGGAGGAGCTGGGGGGTGTTATCTGGTGGTGTGGAGGAGCTGGGGGTGTTATCTGGTGGTGTGGAGGAGCTGGGTGGTGTTATCTGGTGGTGTGGAGGAGCTGGGGTGTTATCTGGTGGTGTGGAGGAGCTGGGGGTGTTATCTGGTGGTGTGGAGGAGCTGGGGTGTTATCTGGTGGTGTGGAGGAGCTGGAGGGGGTGTTATCTGGTGGTGTGGAGGAGCTGGGGGGTGTTATCTGGTGGTGTGGAGGAGCTGGGGGTGTTATCTGGTGGTGTGGAGGAGCTGGGGGGTGTTATCTGGTGGTGTGGAGGAGCTGGGGGTGTTATCTGGTGGTGTGGAGGAGCTGGGGTGTTATCTGGTGGTGTGGAGGAGCTGAGGAGCTGGTGTGGAGGGTGTTATCTGGTGGTGTGGAGGAGCTGGGGGTGTTATCTGGTGGTGTGGAGGAGCTGGGGGTGTTATCTGGCGGTGTGGAGGAGCTGGGGTGTTATCTGGTGGTGTGGAGGAGCTGGGGTGTGTTATTTGGTGGTGTGGAGGAGCTGGAGGTGTTATCTGGTGGTGTGGAGGAGCTGGGGTGTGTTATTTGGTGGTGTGGAGGAGCTGGGGGTGTTATCTGGTGGTGTGGAGGAGCTGGGGGGTGTTATTATCTGGTGGTGTGGAGGAGCTGGGGTGTTATCTGGTGGTGTGGAGGAGCTGGGAGGTGTTATCTGGTGGTGTGGAGGAGCTGGGCTGTTATCTGGTGGTGTGGAGGAGCTGGGGGTGTTATCTGGTGGTGTGGAGGAGCTGGGGTGTTATCTGGTGGTGTGGAGGAGCTGGGGGGTGTTATCTGGTGGTGTGGAGGAGCTGGGGTGTTATCTGGTGGTGTGGAGGAGCTGGGGGGTGTTATCTGGTGGTGTGGAGCTGGGATGTTATCTGGTGGTGTGGAGGAGGGGGGTGTTATCTGGTGGTGTGGAGGAGCTGGGGTGTTATCTGGTGGTGTGGAGGAGCTGGGGTGTTATCTGGTGGTGTGGACGAGCTGGGGTGTTATCTGGTGGTGTGGAGGAGCTGGAGGTGTTATCTGGTGGTGTGGAGGAGCTGGGGGGTGTTATCTGGTGGTGTGGAGGAGCTGGGGTGTTATCTGGTGGTGTGGAGGAGCTGGGGGGTGTTATCTGGTGGTGTGGAGGAGCTGGGGTGTTATCTGGTGGTGTGGAGGAGCTGGGGTGTTATCTGGTGGTG